ATTTGTGTGAGGTTCAGTGGATTTATCTTGGAGGGGAACATATTAAGATTGCGTGAGGGGAATGGAGGTTGTTTCAAAGGAGTCACTGTGATACAGTCAAAGCACCATGGTGAAACGTCACAATATAAAGCTCTCGCTTTCCACCCCCACAAGACCATGTCTGTACCACTTTAACTCCCAACCCCTTAGTGAAGGTACAGTTATACTTGTTAAATGTGCTTATCACAGGTATAAATGTACTATAGCTTAGTCCTATCTACTTATACTGGTATAACTGCATCCATACTAGACCATTATAATTACTTCAGAAAAAAAATCACACCCCTAATTGTAAATTATACTGTACAAAATCTGGGTGTAGCTCAGGCCTTACCTGCCTAGAACTGACAGTTACCTCTGTCAGAATGTTTCCTAGTATCACAAAGGTAGTAAGTCACAGATTTAAGCCCAGATTTCCTGATTCCTAGTCCTGATTTTTAATACCAACAACTGAGGTTGACCTAGCTACATCCCTCAAACATTCACACCCCGAGAGATGTAGTTAAGCCGACCTAAGTCCTGCTATAGATATTGCTATGTCGACGAAGGAATTCTGTCGACCTACCTACTGTAAAGGAGTAGATTTACTACAGCAACAGAAACAGCTTTTCCGTCACTGTAGCAAACGCCTACCTGCAGCACCATTGTGGCATAGCTGCAGTGCTACAGCGGCACTGCTATAGCACTTGTAATGTAGACATACCCTTAAATGGCTATAGGACAATTTGGCCCTGATCTCTGACTGGTGCCTCTAGGTGCTACTTAAATCCAAATAAAAAAATAATAGGAGTAAACTGGGTTCAATGTCATGCTCCACCCAGGCTGGGTGAGCTTAGACAAGTCACTTACTCTCCCTGTGCATCAGTCCCCCACCTGTAAAATGAGGATAACAGCACTATTCCACCTCACAATGGTGTTTGTGAGGTTTTTGGCTACAGCAACAAGGAGAGGCCATGAAGTGTCTAGACAGATGGATGTCTATTACCCATACCAGTGCTTCTTGGCTTTTTGTGGCAACTTTTACCAGTAGAGTGATAATTGCCTATCCATGATGCCAACTGTGGATTAGCCATCTTTGAATCAATTACCAACAGCTCTACAGCAGTCCAAGGTTCCAGTTTCCAGAGGACAATAACAACTTGTTTCTGGAGTGTTATTGCCTCTTTCATCCAGGTGTACTCGAGCTCAAGGATTGGAGTAAGTTCTCACACAGCTAGAGAATGTTGCTTTCCTCGTATGAAAGTTTGGGGCCCACTGCTGGTCATCGCATATTTCCATCATAACGGATTCCCACCACTCTATGCTTGTAGCTCTGATCCAGCTGTGATCTCCACAGGGGAAAAACACATCAACTAAGTCCATGGCTCTATGTCCGTAAGGTGCTGGCCACTATCTTCTGTGGGCAAAAAGCCACCCTTGAAACACGTGACATCACCCCCTGGCAGCAGCTTTGGCAGTTGCATGCCAGAGAAACATCATCTCCAAAACAGCATCTGTCAGTTCCAGTTGTTAGACTGAATGGGATCCAAACCTGACAGCACAAGGATGTAATAGCATATGAAACATAAGAAACAGCCAGGAGGAAGGGATAGCTCAGTGGTTTGAGCATTGGCCTCCTAAACCCAGCTTTGTGAGTTCAATCCTTGAGGGGGTGGGATCTGGGGCAAAATCAGTACTTGGTCCTTCTAGTGAAGGAAGGGGGCTGGACTTGATGACCTTTCAATCCAGTTCTAGGAGATAGGATATCTTTCTTTATTTATAAATCTTTGTCTCTCTCATTATTAGATACAACATCAGTGTGGACATGGGGCATGACAGCCAGGATGTGGAACTCAACTGCTGTGGTCACGTTCTGTCGAGTCAGGGCTTATTTACATGGGGAAATGTAGAAGCATAACTATAGCAGTATAATTCTATCAGCATACTTATGCTGGTAAATGCCCCATATAGATAAGCCCTTAGGCTAAAGCAAGGTGGCTAAGACCTGGTCTACACTTAAAATTTAGAGTGACCTAGCTATGTTGTTCAGTGGCTGTGAAAAATTCACACCACCGCACCATAGGTAAACTGACAGATGCAGTTACCTCAATGGAAGAATTCTTCCGTTGATTGCTCCGCCACTCAGGGAGGTAGATTACCTACACTGACGGGAAAAAAACCCTTCAGTTGCTGTAGGAAGTGTCTATGCTACAGTGCCACAGACGCATAGCTGCAGCTCTGCCCCTGCAGCACCCGTAGTGTAGATATGGGCTAATTCATGAGTCTTCCAATCTCTGCATACAGAAGCAACACTTCCCCCCACACTACTCTGTCTTCTTCGAGCCTCACCCTCAGCCCCACCTTGTTTTCAAAGGGGCAGCTTCTGTTAAGCAGAATACAAACACTGAAAATAGAATAACAAAACAAATATTAACACAACACCCAAATTCACCTCTAAATATAATGTTTTGCAATATAAATTCATTTTAATAATTATTCCTGTGTTCTCAAACTAACAAATGTATTTTTCCTCCTAGACATGTCAGCAGGTAGGAGTGACTGGTGTGGGAGCCATGCTGTTATCCTCTATGAGGAGTAGCTGAACTGGGGATATAACAAGCTTTAATACAACTATTTGTGAACTAGCCATCACCTACAGCCCCCAACTAAAACCTCTCCAGCGCATCATCAAGCATCTACAACCTATCCTGAAGGACGATCCCTCATTCTCACAGACCTTGGGAGACAGGCCAGTCCTTGCTTACAGACAGCCTCTCAGCTTGAAGCAAATACTCACCAGCAACTACACACCACACAACAAAAACATTAACTCAGGAACCAATCCCTGCAACAAAGCCCGTTGCCAACTCTGTCCGCATATCTATTCAAGGGACACCATCATAGGATCTAACCACATCAGTCACAACATCAGGGGCTCGTTCACTTGCACATCTACCAATGTGATATATGCCATCATGTGTCAGCGATGCCCCTCTGCCATGTACATTGGCCAAACTGGACAGTCTCTATGCAAAAGAATAAATGGACACAAATCAGACATCAAGAATTGTAACATTCAAAAACCAGTAGGAGAGCACTTCAATCCCCCTGTTCACTCAATAACAGACTTAAAAGTGGCAATTCTTCAACAAAAAAACTTCAAAAACAGACTTCAGTGAGAAACTGCAGAACTGGAATTAATTTGCAAACTTGACACCATTAAATTAGCCCTGAATAAGGACTGGGAGTGGCTGGGTCACTACAAAAAATAATTTTCCCTCTGTTGATACTCACACCTTCTTGTCAACTACTGGGAATGGGCCACATCCACCCTAACTGAATTGGCCTCGTTAGCACTGACCCCCGACTTGGTAAGGCAACTTCCATCTTTTCATGTGCTGTATATTTATACCTGCCTACTGTATTTTCCACTCCATGCATCTGATGAAGTGGGTTATAGCCCATGAAAGCTTATGCCCAAATACATTTGTTAGTCTCTAAGGTGCCACAAGGACTACTTGTTATTTTTATTTGTGAACTAGCATTAGAATGTTGGGTAGCAGGATTCCTGGGTTCTGTTCCTGCATCTGTTAGCAGAGTACGACCTAGTAGTTAAAAAGAGCATAGCAAATATACGATGCCCCTTCCTCACTCAGCTATGTGAACTGAACCTGGGATCTCAAAGCATAAACCATTACTAGAGCACAACAATAGTACACATCAGGATGGTGGTAGTAGCAGATTCATAAACCTCTGTATGCATCTAACCACTAGAAAGAGACAAAGATCCACATGGTGTAAGTTGGACAAGCATACTTCGGCCCATTTATCTGAAAGGCAGTGTGGCAAAGTCAGCCTGGTCAACTCTGGCCCACCCTCTCTCTCCGTTGGGTGAGCGATAGCTGCTTCTGAGCTAGTGTTCTGAGGATTTGGCTAGTAACTCTGAAATGGAGCAAGGGTGGAATGCAAGGGGAGAGTCTCACTCCTGGCCTGGTGTTTCATAGGCGGTGGGGGGGACATGCCAGTTATGTCTAGGGTTGCCAACAGTCCCTTATTACAAGGAACATCCCTTATTTTTTCCATCTCTGTACAAGATCAGGAATTGCTGAGTGCTGCAAAAAGGAGCAAGAAATACCTGTGGTGAACGTAGGTGAGTACTCCTTATTAATACTGACAGGTTTAAGGACTCCTTGTTGTTTTTATTAATAATAATGATATCATCAGGAAGAGGAGGAATGCAGGGCTAAGAAAACAACTTCTTATTTTTGAAATACTCTGGCAACACTACATGCCACAGTCCTGCAGAATGTGCACCCCTGGCAGGCGCTAAGGGGAGTTGCCCCGCCAGGATGTGTGGCACCAAAGGAGGGACGGCCCTTACAGCAGGGACGGGCAGCATGGCCTCCCCAGGAGCAGGCGGCATAGTGGGCGGAACAGCTGCGGGGAAGGGGCCCCACCCCTAGGGTTCAGGGGCCTTGCCTGGGGGCACTGCTACGGTGGATTGGCTCAGTGGCAGGGCCGCCGCCGCGGGGCCGTTGCCCCCTGCCTGCAAAAGGCAAGCACCAAACCGGCCCCTTTACACGCTTTGAAGTTGCCTCGGTAGTAATGGCCGCCAGCGTCACATGACAAGCTGCTGGTGGAGGGGGTATTGTGACCCAAGCCGCTTTCCATAGTAGGCGAGACGCGGATCATCCCCACATGCCTGTGGGCAAACCTGTTTCCGGTTGGAGAGACGCCCCAAGCGGAAGTGCTGTTTCTTTAAGGCATGTGGAGGAGGAGCGGATCAAGGGGGGGGAGAAAGCGAACTTTCCGCACCACGTGGTCAGACTCCAACCAATGCTGAGCGGCGGTGAATCGCCACGGTAGGGGCGGGGCGCGGCGCGCGGGTGACCTGGAAGTTTGTGCGCGCTGAGTCACATGGAAGGGGCGGAGGCACTCAGAGCCCCGCCTAACCTGGCCTCCTGGCAGCCAATGAGAGCTGCGCCCGCGGGTACAAAGCGGAAGTGGGGGGGTGGGCGAGGGAATAGAGGAGTGCGCGTGAGGTTGTGCCGCTCTGTCCTGTCTCCCTCCTCCCCGGCTGCTGTAGTGCTAGAGGCCGGGCGCGTGTGCGCAGCGACCGACGCTCCGTTTCCAATCGGCGGGTAAGAGCCGGGCCTGGCGCGCGCCGCTCCCGGCCGCGGGAGTTGCCGGCGCGGGGTCGGGCCGGGCCGGGAGCCCCGTGGGAGGCTGGGGCCCTTCACCCTCCCCGGGGGCTGGGCCCGGCGTGGGGCTCCTGGGCCCGGCGTGGGGCTCCTCGGCCCCCCGCACACGGTGTGTGTGGCAAGGGCGGCTCTGTCTCCGCGCTCCGGCCGGGCGCTGCAGCGGCGTTGCCACAGGCACGTGGGCAGGGCCGGGTGTCCTGGAGGCCTCCCTCGCGCCACTGTCCGGCCCGGGGCAGGCGGACCCTGCGCCCGGCTGAGGGGCTGCCGAGAAGCACGTGCTGCCCGGGCAGCCAGCAACCCGCCTTGCGCCCAGCCAGCCTTGCGCTCAGCGCGGGGGCAGGGCGTATGTGCACTGCAGATAAACCCTCGCGGCTGTCCCGGGCTAAAGGGGTTGCTTAATTGCTGTGCAACTGCTCGGGTTGTAGCCTGAGCTCTGGGACCCTCCCTCCCACGTGTTTCTAAGCTGTCTGGTTTGCTGGTAAAAGCTGCATCCTCTCCTTATTCTCTAGTAGACCCAGCGCACCATGGCAGATGAGATTGACTTCACGACTGGAGATGCTGGTGCTTCCTCCACCTACCCCATGCAGTGCTCTGCGCTGCGCAAGAACGGCTTTGTCGTGCTCAAGGGACGTCCTTGCAAAATTGTTGAAATGTCAACCTCTAAAACCGGCAAACATGGTCATGCCAAGGTAAACAAGACTGGCACATTCTCATACCTTTGCTTTTGGGCTTGAATATCTCCTCCCTCAATTACTTATTTTTATATAAATAGGGTGTGTAATAAACACACACTGCACAAATCACCTGTCAGATCCTTAGCTATGGAATTATTATGTACATAATACTGGTGTGCCCATGCCTCAGAGCAAGTTTTCTGTACTATTCAATCCCAGCTCTACAGCAAATGATAAACAGTGGGGGTAATATTCAAGACAAGATCCCATGTATGCCTTTTGCTTGAGCACTCTTGAAATTTACATGGGGATGAACTAGAGTTTATTGACTTGATGGAAGTGCTCTGAGAAGGTAGAGGGATTAGACTAGCCTTTGCCTAAAGAAGGATTTGGAAGGTGTTGAGTAATGCATGTTAACAGCCTACTGTAGAGAACTGGCAGTGCCTCTGACATATTAAAAGACTCCATATAACACATTTAATAGACTTTCCAAATCCTAATTTAGACAAAAATCTAGAGTTAAGGTAAAGTACTATGGGGAAGAGTCTACCCCACCCACCCCCACTTTCTGAGACCATCTATATGGCTTAGCTAAGTAGACATACTTTGCACTAGTCCTTGTCTCTAGCTAACTAGCAATTAACTGATATACTTAACCGTGTTTTTTGAAGGCTGGTGTAGACACCCCCTTGCCTCTGTTCTAGGTGACAAATACTTGGCTTTTACCACATGCTAATTGAGTACTTAAGTCTTCACTACACTTGAAGTAGAAGCCTATGGTATGTCTGTCTACTAAACAATAGAGGCTAACAGCAATTAACTAAAGATACAAAAAAAAATCTAAGACCTACACCTACACCCACCCCTGGGAGCAGTAAGGAGATGTGTGTGGGGGGGAATGACACACTCTCATGGCTTTAAAAAGTTCCTATCAGACCCTCAGGCTTGGCCTACATTTTGTTAGGTTGACTAGCTACATCACTCAGGGCTGTGTTGGATTACCTATATCAATGGGAAATGTTTTCTGTTGATGCAGGGAGCATATGTGCTGTGGTAGCTGTGCAGCCGTAGAGGCCATAGTGTAGACATACCTTTGGTTAGTATCTTTCTCTAGAAACCGTTCTTAAAGCTAGTTTAATGTCTTCAGTGCCTCCCAGCAGCTAAGATGCCCTGAAATAATTACCAAAATAAAGATAAGGGCAGGTAACCACCTTGTTCATTTGTGTCTTAGTTAAGTGTCCTGGAAACAGCCCAGATTCTGATGTTTAAGAGCGTGGACAGAGACCTTAGTTGGAGCTAACAGTTGATAGCCTGGTTTATACCAGGGTTTAGTCTACATTCCATTGTGGTAATACTAGTTCAGCTCAGTCTGGCAATCATGGGAGTCTTAGCGTAGACATGTAACAGCACAAACATGTCTAAAGCCATAGCAAAAAGACTTGTGAATAGGTTAGTTTGGTGTTGGCAATACTGGGGCATTTCTAGAAATGCCCCTAATACTGGGGGAGACAGGCTTAAATCCCATTTCCCTCTCATCTTTCAGGCCTGGCCCAAGCTAAGGTTTGTAAGTATATATCTATGCCAGCACAAACTTTTTACTGTAGGCTTGGGAAAAGAGACCTTTTGGCATTACATCACTAGTTAGGAGTGAAATATTTTTCACTCCTAACCCGCATAGCCTTAGTCTCAAATCTAGTGATGTCATTGTAGAACTGGGATACCAAGGCTCTAATTTTCTTACTCTCCTCCTTTTATGACAGATATTTCAAACCATCTTCATATGTGACCAGGGATGGGGGAAAGGGTGCAAGCAGAACTTTCTCTTTTTCAGGTTACCCATAAACTCTTGGACTAAAATTCTTACCCCTCCCATTCAAGTGGAATTGGTTTTGTGTGTAAAATGAACCAGTAACTTGAACTGTTGCCTTGAACAGCAGGCTGCCAGTGACTGATCCTAAGTGGAGAAAAATTAATTGCTCTTTACTACTGTTCTTGCAGGTTCATTTGGTTGGTATTGATATTTTCACTGGCAAAAAATATGAAGATATCTGCCCATCCACTCATAACATGGATGTTCCAAATATCAAGAGGAATGACTATCAAGTGAGTCTGTTTACCGATGGTGCTTTTAGACAGCTTCCTAACTGTTGCCATAATGACAAATTTCAGTTACTACAAGTAAATTAGCTCCACTCCTAAACTGCATGTCAAAAATTTTTAGCTAGCTTAAACTAAAAAAAGTTGCTTCTCCCACTTCAGACCCTTTTTCTTTCTCTTCTGAGGGTAGTTATTACTCCCTTGTTGAGCATACTAGCAGTGCACTCTAAAATTTTGTCCTGAAGTCTGGGATAACTTCATTATGCTGTCAGGGAGTACAAGATGGTAATATGACTCTATAATGGGGAAAGGAGAATGGTTATATACCGGAGGATGGGAAAGTATCTTTACTATAGGGGCTAGAAAAGACTATCTTGGGTAAGACTTCTGGACTTCCTTAGAGCAGCACATTTACTCTTGGCTGTATCTGATTCTGCCTATTGAATTTCTTTTGAATTGAAATTGACTCGAACCTTTTAGATGGCACTGCTCCAAAGTCATTCTGATCCTCCTGAACACTATCGGAGTGTAGATGCAGGGTTCACAAATTTCCTTTTGTTAACTTGATAACTTTTTTTGAAGTGTTAGAAGGATGCTGACAAACTAACTAGACCTCAAATCTCTGCCACATGCCAGTCTAGTTTTCACTTTGACATAACATAATTGACATCTTAGGATAGTCCAGTTTCTAGCCTCGTCATTTCTATTAAGGCTTTTAGTCTGCGTGAAGCGACAGCTGTGATGAATTCAGAGTGCACTGAGTTAGGGACACTAGAAATTCAGTCAGCTAACTTGGTGCAAATGAAGTCAAAAGATGGATCACTCTGAAGTAATGAGTTTTTATGGAGGATGGTAGCAAAATATGGTGGCTTTCACCTTAAAGTCACTAGTTGATTTCTGTCCAGATGAAATGACATCCTCAATTAGTATTAATTGGCCAACTCAAGGTCACATGGCTAGAGTACTAATGCTAAACCTCCTAATCAAGGTGGACTGTTCTTTATTGCCCTGGTGTGCATCATGTCCTGGATAGTAACTCTTCTTCAGAGTTGTTGGTTCTACATACCAAATACTAAATCACAATTTTATAGAGCTTGAGCTTCCCACTTGTATTTTTAGGACTATTGTCCTGGTTCTTTACCTTCACTTAGAGGTCCCTCTAGTAAGTTACTGAGGAGTAAGGCCCTCTCTAGATCTGTTAGGATATATGAACTTTCATATGTGATACAGTCTTATGGGAAATTCTAGCCTTTTGGTGTCCAAAGCTAGTTACTTCCTTAACTATTACCATTCAAAAATTAGAAATAGCTTAACTTTCATACAGAAAATGGCAGTCTAAAATTTTCTTCCTGACTCACCTTGTGTGTGCCTTGTAAAGCAGCACTTAAGAGCTAGAGTTAAAAACCACTGCAGTGGTTCATTCAGATAAATGGAATCTGATGTGATGGCCTAGAGAAATACTCAAGTCAGCTTATTTGTTTTGTAGTTGTGCTACCATCCAGGACTCTCTTACCCCTGTGCTTAATAACTTGACCACTGAAAACAAATGTGCAACTTCACTTAGTTTAGCAGAAGCTAATAGCTTTCAATCCTTCTCTTGAAAGATCATTTAAAACTGTCAAATGTCATGATTTGTATTCTGATTAGGCAACAAAATTAACATGACTAATGCCGAATCTGTCTCCGAACTACCTTAATATTAGAAGCGGCAAGTAAGGGGATGGCCTAGTTTCAATATTTGATACTGAACTAATACAAACTAGCAAATCTTGCTAGTCAGACAAATTAGCAGTATGAATTTTCTAAAAACCAACTTCTCCCTGTAGCTGATCTGTATTCAGGATGGCTACCTCTCTCTGCTGACAGAAAGCGGTGAAGTTCGTGAGGATCTGAAGCTGCCAGAAGGTGATCTAGGCAAAGAAATAGAGGGGAAATACAATGCAGGTGAAGATGTACAGGTAAGAACAGAAAGCAATCAAGGTGCCACTAAAGGGCAAGTTTTAAAGGGTGTCTATACTTTCCATAAGAGTCTGTGATAAAGAATGGTCCTGTTCTTATTCTCACAATCTGAATTTGGAAGCATACCAATTTCCTACACTCTGAAACTCCTTCCTACCAAATTTAGGAGTATAGCTATTTCGAAATGAACCTAAATAGCCCAGCTCAAGCAATTAACAGTGGTCTCCATTCTGTGGTTGATGGAAAGCTTGCTGGTTCTCACCTCAGCTGCATTTGCATGTGTCCAGATGCTTTGCTGTTCCACAAACTAGAAGTTACAAGCCAAGTTGAGGCCTGGTCTAAACTTCAGTTTTGCTGGCATAGTGATGTGGGCTGAGCAATGGGGGGGGGGGGGGGGAAGTTACACAATTACCCAACAGAGCTATAAATATAAAAGCTCTAATGGAAATCCAGCTTATATGAGCAAAAGCACTCTTGCTAGTATAAACTGCATCTCCACTAGAAGGGTTTGTCAGTATAGATAGGTCTAGCTGTCTCTAACATCTGCTATGAGAGAAGAACCTAGAGCTGCCAGTCACTAACAGATGACCAAGCAGCAGGGCAAAGAAAGGGATGCATATCCAGAGAGAATGTATCATAGGGCCAGATGGAATGACCAGGGGTAGAAAACTTTTTGTATTAAAGACAGATTAAATACATTTCCATGTTATCTGTAGTTATTGCTACTTCTCAACAAGAGGAGGTAGGATAGGAGTCCCTCCAACATTAGTTTTCAGTGGGGTGCCTTTTATCACATGGGTTTAAGTCTCTTGTGATTAAGTGTTATCCATACATTTTTTAATGTTTATCTTTTGTCTTCTAGGTGTCAGTCATGTGTGCAATGAGCGAAGAATATGCTGTAGCCATAAAGCCCTGCAAATAAATGGGATCTCCAGGCTCGAGCAATTGCTCAGGTCCAGACAAACCACAGATCTTAAATTTGGTTCTGATTGTCACCAAAGCTATGGCCTTCACAAGCAACCTCATTTCTTTTTGGATTGTTTCAAAATAGTGCTGGATTCTGGATTAGTGTTGCAGGCTGACTGGCAATTTTCATAATCACTGAGGTTTTAATTCCTTATGAATTGTGTAACTAACATGCCTGTAGGTTTCAGTTCATGGGTCCAAGAAACCTGATGGTTTCATTCATTAGCAGGTATATTTTATTTGTTTGAGCAAAACATGTCTGTCTGTGTGAACAGACAATGTACAGTATTCAGGGGATTTTAGATAAAATAGTAGATGGTATCTAGGATTCTAAATTAACCTAGAACATAAATAGTATTTAGCTTTTTTGCCATAACATTTAGCTAGAACTGACATAATATAGAATTGTTTTAACTTAGACATTAATATCTTGTGAATTGGGATTCTCATTGAATTGTGGGTGCTGATCACATTTCTTAGACCATGAAACTCAAGTGATTAAAAAAAAATGCCAATTAGCTTGACAAAGTCCTGGTGGCCATGTGCAACTAACTGTATTACCTCTTGTTATAATCTCCCTTTGCCAACTTGTTGGCTTGCTTATTGTAACTTTATAAAAATGTCAATCTGCCTTTGGTGTAGGCAGGCAGTCAGAATGTTGGTTGGATGTTACATAGCCAGATTAAAGGTGCACAAGTAGGTGGGATTAGATGTTAAAGTGAGACTTTCACTTGAGGCCTTTGTCAGACTTAAATAATAAAAATAGAAAAATGCAGTTCAGTTGCTCTTATTGTATTATCTTAAACTATAAAAAGGAGTGACTAACTCCACAGGAATCTCTTGCAGTGCTTCCAGTGTTAGGTGTAAATGTTCAGGTTCTAACTACTTGGATTTTGTAGCACAAGGAGTATAGGTTTTTGACCACTTTTCTTTGAAAATGAATTGTAGCATTGGAACTTAAATGCACATCCTTCATGTGTAAAGGCAACCTAACTATTCAAATGCAAACTTTTTTGCATTTATAAATAAAATATAGGCACAGCAGACACCAATATAAAACATAATCATTGCTCAAATAGGGGAGTAGTAGTAATAAGTTACTACATGTAACTGTTCTAGAAATAAACATGGCAGAAGCTACATAGGTAGCTTGCCATCAACACAGCAGTTCCTGACTCATTTAAAAATGTGTATTTAGGCATGACTTTGTTAACTTGTTAATGGCAAACATGAAAGGCTCTGCAAAACTGACAGAATTGTCACTAACTTAGCATCTTGTGCTTTCTGTATGGTGCTCTTACACATGAATTTCATTCTTCTACTATAAATTCGTTCTCAGACTAGTTCATGGCTTAAACTTCAAGTCACTTCCCTGTAATGGGTCTTGGCAGAACTAGATTTGATAAAAATGCTTAATATAAAAAAAACAAACTTTAAATTTCAGTTGTAGGAAATTTGGGAGCAGGGTGAGCTGTCTACTTAATGACAGCAGATGTTGAGATTCAGTTAATTATAAATCTCTAAAACACAAATGGCCAACATCACGTGTCAAAATCTAGTTAGATGTCCTTAAATCAAACTAAGTTTTCAAGCAGCATTTTTCTTTATCTGTACATTTTGTTTATCAATGTAGACATTTTAGTTGGTTTGTGAGCATGGTCAAATGGCTATTTAAAAATCTGTCCTTCCAAGCCTACTTCTAATGAACCACTTTATAAACTTGCCTTAAGCTTCAATGGCTATTGACTAATTTGGGATGATTTAAATACTTGGAATACTGCCCTTGCAAATGGAGTAGAGCAACTATCTTATGAGTTGAACTTGTATATGAAACTTAGTCTATATCCTGGTAGACTACAGTGAACCTGAGTGATGAAAAGTAAAACACACACTGACCGTATGCATGTGCCTAGTATACCATGATAGAGGGGGACAAGCATCATGCAGCTCAGGCTAGCAATAAATAGCTACCTAATCCATCTCAAAGCACAATGTACTGTAACTATCCTTACAGCAGTCAAGTATCACTACATAGTTCTGCCTTGCTTACAGGGCATTGTGATTGAACTTCCTAAATAGCACCTTGTTTCGTATGCAACAATAAACTTGATTCTTAAAACAAGGCTCTGCACCCTATTACAGGCTGAAACCTGTGTTAACTATAGTGCTTTCTTAAGAGCTAAACCTCAATGCTCTCCTTGTCTTCCTGTACCCCACCAGGAAGTGGAGGGTAGGAGGGAACAGCAGTGCTTGTTATGTGTCAATATCTCATGGTGTGGGTCAATAAAAACCAGTGCCTCTGGACCTGGTCTTAAGGATAAGATGAGGTGCCTGCAACCAGCTAGGTTGTCTAGCACTGACATAACCAAGCTAATGCAAGTTCTGGCTGCTAGAACTATATTAAAATATAGTTCAAAGGCTGGACAAATTCAGCTAGTGTAGCATCTTACCGTGTTAGTACAATTTTAAAGGTCTCATATGCAACTAAAACATTTGATGCAATCAGACATTGAATGCAGCTCATCCACAAGTGTCTGGAAAGTATAGGACTAGCTATCTCAAAGTAGTCCCTTGATTGAGAGATTTCTTAAGGCTAAAAGGCAGTTCTACTAACCACTGCCTGCAGTTCTTCAAAATGTAGGTTTGAGATGACAGTACTTCTCCAAGCAAGAGTTTGTTCTGTTGGCTGGTTCTCTAGCAGTCTTGCATATGACTAAATACCTATTGCTTATCCATCTTTGTAAGGCACTTTGAGATCTATGAAAGTAATTATTAGGTCATCATACATATGGAATTGCCTGGAGAAAACTAATCTATTACTAGTATCTTGGACACTTCATCAGTTAAGTTACAGTATTATGTTTTACTAAACTTAAAACCAATGTTTGAGCTATTTCTTTAATAGCAAGCTATTTCAGCTTACGGTCAAGTCATATTTACAATAAACCTTTGAATTGCTACTAGTAGCAATTCAAACTGCTGCATCTTCCTGGAATCTCGATCAGAAATGTCATGAGGTGAATTTCTTGCTCTCAAAGCTTCACTTTAAAACAGATCTCATCTATTTACCTGGTTTGTACTACTAGCTTCTAAATTAAGGGGTTTTTTATTAACTTGCTGCTACCAGAACATGAAAACTGCAAACTCTTAGCAGCTGCTGCAATTCCCTAAATTAAAAGATGGAAAACTAGGGGGTGTAGGAAATATTTTCACTTACTGTTACACTTTTATGGCACCAGTCTTTATAGGGTTTTTGTCTTTTCAATTCTCTAAATGTACTATAGGCTGTTTTTTGCCTCAAGTGTTGATAAATATTATTTAACAACTTAAATGGACCCTTTTAATTTTTGCTTGATATGGTTGCTTTTCAACTAGACTATTGCCAGTTGAGCCATGGTTTGAATGCATTGTTCTCAGGGCTGAAGTTCATTATTTTAACAGTAACTGCTTGCAAGTCTCTTACAGGGTTTTTCTGATTCATAGTCACCTGTAGCTTTCCCGAGATGGTGCAGTCTATATAATCTCAGAATACTGTATTCTACATAATCTGTAAAAGAATCACATTTGGGACTAGGTCAAACTATTGTAGTTAGTAGGTTTACTGAAGTCAAGCATGTTAAAATATTAAATGGGCTTCAAAATTCAATAAAATACACTTTTTGTTGGATAATTAGAATATAGTTTTACAAGAATTCAGGTTTGGAAAGGAAGATTCAGTATGTCCTTACTATTAAGGCAGTTGGGTATCGCATTGAATTTTATGCATCAAGACAATTTTAATGAAGGTATAAATCTTAATGAATATATTATGCTAAACATATGGTTGAATTTTAGTTTTGCACAGTCCATTTAGAGCTTCTTGAGTCTCATTTTAACATCTGTAGTCTAACCCTAAAGTATTTGGCTTTTGAGGGTGATTCTGTATTGTAGTAAATAACCAGTGTAAACTTAGAAACTCTCTTGTTTAGTTTAAATGCTTGCTGCATATTACTGTAAAATAAATGATACCCCATTATTCTCAAATTATTCTATATGATAAACATATCAAGTATTAGTCAATGTATTTTTTTAAAAAGGGAGAGGGAAGAGAAGTTTTAATTACTGTATTTATGCAATGACATCATACTAATCATAGCAAAAAGAAAACACCCTGTAAGTTATTGTATCTAGTCTTTAGGGATTAAGTGAGCAAATGGACTTATTGGTTATCAGCTAGAAGGATTCAAATATTTATATATTGTAGAATATATATTTGCTTTTTAAAGTCTTAAAACCAATAACTTGAAAGGTATAACTGTACATCTTTCATTTGTGTAATAGTGAAGTTCTCAGTCCCTAAGAGTAAGGGAAGTTTGGCTTACAAAAGATGGTTGAAAGAAGGCCCTTTAACATTTAGATGATGAAGCTGGCTAAAATGTTTCTATGAAATATTTGTGAATTTGACTTTTAGTTACAGCAAGAGGGATAGTGGAAGCTAAACTTAAGGTCCAGTCTTGAAATACCTTTTATTTTTATTCACTACCTTTAGCAATACATTTGTTCATTCCATGTGAAAAACATTTTTTGTTTTTAAACTAGAAGGGCTTGTCAAAGTTGTATTGGGGATGGGCGGGGGGGGGAGTGCTGACTTTCCTGTCAAAAGAAATAAAATCAAACTCTTAACATTTTATAGTGACTATTTCTTGACATGTGAATATTGTAAATTTCTCCAAGAATAAAGAAATACCATAGTGATAGGCATGATATAAGAACCTGATTTCATCAGGAAATACTTTTTGTATGTGATTAGGTAAAAGCTTTGCTGATGTTGGAAGAATACTTTCCTAACAAACTGAATGATAGTTTAGAAAGAACGGTGATGGCTCTCTGGATGCTGCAGTCGTGCTCCTTTATAATTGCTCATATTGCTGTGTTCTCTCTAATCAGGAGAGAAGGTTTTACTAATCTGTTGCTTCTAACATAACAACAAACAAATAGCATGACAGGCTGCAAAGAGGCATCATAAGAATGGTTGTACTCAGATCAAAGGTCCATCCAGCCCAGTATCCTGTCTACCGACAGTAGCCACTGCCAAGTGCTTCAGGGCAAATGAACAGCTAATCATCAAGTGATCCATCCCCTGTCATCCATTCCCAGCTTCTGGCAAACAGAGGCTAGGAACACCAACCTAGCTAATAGCAATTGAGGGACCTATCCTCCATTAACTTATCTAGTTCTTTTTTGAGCCCTGTTATAGTCTTGGCCTTCACAACATCCTCTAGCAAAGAGTTCCAAAGGTTGACTGCATAATGTGAAGAAATACTTCCTTTTGTTTTTAAACCTGCTGCCTATTAATAAAGAGTCAATAACAGATTTACTTTCTCCACACAAGTCATGATTTCATAGATCTCTATCATATACCCCTTTACTTAGCTCTCTTCCAACCTGAAAAGTCCCAGTCTTCTTAATCTCTTCTCATATGGAAGCTGTTCCATACCCCTAATCATTTTTGTTGTCCTTTTCCATTTCCAATTCCAGTATATTTTTTTTTCTTGAGGGGGAATGAATACTTTGCATGGAGTATTCAAGATGTGGGTGTACCATGGATTTATATAGAGGTAATATATTTTCTGTCTTATTATCTATCTCTTTCTTAGTGATTCCCAACCTTCTGTTAGCTTTTTTGACTGCTGCATTTATCAAAATTCAATTTCATCTGCCATTTTGTTGCCCAGTCACCCAGTTTTGTGAAAGCCCATTGTAACTCTTCAAAGTCTGCATTGGATTTAACTATCT